CGGGCAGCCCGTGCGTTGGCCATTTATTTGGTTTGTTATGCCATATTATTTGGTCAATTTAGCCCAATAATGAGACATTAAAGAAGGATGGTACCTGTCTCAACTGGCCTCCTGCTGGTTTATCTAATAAATAAAAAAATCTTTTTTGAATTTCGCTAGCAAAATTTAGCACATAATCGATCTTAGGTTGACAGCTTTCACAATTTTCATTCTGCAGTGAATAAATTCGCTCTGTTAGTTTGTTTGCAGGTATATTTATACGCTTGGTAAAGAGAAATGGCCGCTTGTTACAAAGGAATTACGCGAATTTCTTGATAGCGTTGTACGAAAGGTAGCCTTAAGTTGCATCCAGAACAAACGGTGTCAAAAAAAGTAGCTTTCCGAATATAAATGGACCCATCCTGCTTGAAAAAATGCTTGAATTTACGGTTCCCTGGATAACCTTTCATAAAAAGACCGGCTATCAACTGAGCCGACATTCATTTTTGTTCGACTAGAAAAAATTTCGACTGTTTAATGAAAAAATTTTTGTTCGCAACGAAACTTCATCCAAAGTTATTTTTGTTTTCGTGGTAAAATAAAGGCGTATTTTGATGAAACATAATTCACTATTAGTCTATAATGGGTTCAGTTTAAAAATTTGGCGCCTTTTCAGGTGCACGACGTGGGAGCCGTGCAGGAGCTTTCCCGACATTACGGCGAGCAACATGTTCAGCTAAAAATTTATGGTTTTAAGCCGGATTTCTGGGTTAGCTTAGCGGATGCAATGACACTTGAATGCGTTATACTGGATATGGCAAATCACCAGGTTCTCCTTACCTCCTCTATTTCAGGATGCGCGCAAGCAAGGTGTAATCCCCAGTGACCCACAAAAAAAGCTACTGTACCCATCCAATGAACAGCCCCATGTATCTCACTGACAAAAGCAACTTACAAGTCCGCATTGATAGAGGCTTCTAAGCGTCTAAATAAGCAATTAATACGTTTAACAAGCCATTCATAAAAGCCTCTCCAAGAAGTTTAAAAGGTGGCTGAGATTG